GCACGAGGCCTGGGGATGTAGAAAAACAAACAAACTCGGAAGACAACTCCGCGAACTTGTTAAAAAATATGGTTTAACGGTTTTCGCTCCCGAGCAACCAACCTTCTTCCACCGTAGCGGCACTCACCCACCTGATATCCTGGACTTTCTTATCACTAACATGGGCTCTTCATTCGCCATGGATACCTTAAATGAACTAAGCAGTGATCATTACCCCGTATGGATTACCACAAACCTGCAAAAACTATCAAATGACCAATACAAAAGAAAAACCGACTGGACCCTGTACCATAATATCCTTCACCTGACTGATTCCAACGAAGATTTAATTCCCCATACCAATGATGATATCGACTCCTCCATCGATATACTCACTACTACAATGAATTACGCATTTAACGAGGCAACAGTACTCACCCCCATCAAACTGAACAATCTTAAACTACCAGGAAATATCAAAAACATCATTAAAGAAAAGAACAAGCTCCGAAAAATGCTACAACGCAGCCTAAACCCAGCCCTCAAAACCAAAATTAACAGGTTAAATAAAATCATCAAAGAAAAATGCAATGATCATAGGAATCAATTATGGTACGAAAAATTAGAAAGCCTAAACAACACTGACAATTCTATCTGGAAGATGACCAAGGCGCTCAAAAATCCTCCCCTGAACAAAATGCCCTTAAAAGGGCCAAAAAACACTGCATACACAGCTGATGAAAAAACTTTGATTTTTGCTCAAACAATGGAAAATCAGTTCAGCAATAATAATGAAAACATCTGCCTAAATCACGAAACCTACATAAATAGCTGCTACGACCGCATTATGGAACAAAATAACGCTGAAAACAACATTGAACTGACCTCGGAAGACGAGTTGACCAGAATCGTCAAATTTCTCCCAAATAGGAAGGCACCGGGTCATGATAACATATCGAACTTAATGATTAAAAAACTACCAAGGAATAAGACCTCCCAGCTCATAAACATATATAATGCTTGCATCAAAAATCTTTACTTCCCAGATGTATGGAAGAAATCGGACGTTATCCTAATCCCAAAACCAGGAAAATCAGCCTCAAACCCAGAAAACTATAGACCGATAAGTCTACTACCCACCCTCTCCAAAGTTTACGAAAAAATAATCCAGAAAAGACTACAGGCCTATCACCACCTTCTACCTAACCAACAATATGGTTTTAGGAAACATCTCTCAACAACAAAACAACTAGTTAATATCCTTGAATTCCTAAGCAAAGCTAAATTCAAACGTGAAACAGCCCTTATGCTCATGCTCGATGTGGCCAAGGCCTTTGATCGGGTATGGCACAAGGGGTTAATCGTCAAACTTCAAAGTATGAACATCTCTCACGATCTCATTCTGCTTATTAACTCATTTCTCACAAATAGAAAGTTTCGTATCAAGTTCGAAAAATCATACTCCGAATACAAAAATATACAGGCTGGAGTGCCGCAGGGAAGCATCCTTGGGCCGCTACTCTACATTCTCTACACGGCAGATTTCCCTATGGACAACAATAACACGAATGAATTCACCGCACTGTACGCCGATGATACCGCGATCATCACTAAGTCAATTGGCCACAAACATGCATACACTTCAATGATCAACAAAATTTCAAAAATAGAGAATTGGTGTTCCCTGTGGAGAATTAAACTACACCCCGATAAATGTCAGCTACTTGTTTTCAATAGTCACAAAAAAGGAAAGATTATCCCGGAGATTACCCTCTATCAACAAATTATCAAACCCTCTACTTCTGCCAAATATCTAGGCGTCACCATCACCCCTTCGCTCAAATGGAGCCTACACATAAATAATGTCATCAAGAAAGCAAACGGCGCATTTTGGGCCTTGAACTCAATTTTAAACCACAAATCTTCACTCGATATCAAGTGCAAACGTACTATATATCTTATGGCTATTAGGCCAATTCTCACCTACGCCTGCCCAGACATTACTACCATGAGCAATAACTTAAAGCAAAAACTCTCCTCAGTCGAAGGAAAATTCCTCAGAAAGCTCCTAGGGGCACCCAATTGCATTAGTAACAAAAATATCAAGAAAGACCTTAAAATCGAGGATATCAACGATTTCATTTATACTCTGAGTAAAAATTTCTACAAAGATGCACAAACGTCCACCACTAGTAATTTTAACGCACTCTTAGACATTGACCTCATTGAGGATAACGTAAATTTCAGACCAATCACAGCATTTTTTCTCAAACACGAAACCCTTTTTTTAAACAATTTTAATACACTTTAAAATTTTAAAACTTCGCTCCTGCTCATAATTACATTGACCAGCACAGCTTATCATAAATATTACATAGACCGAAGAGTCGAGTAACCCCCACGGGGGTCGTCTCCTAGAAAATGTGATACTTAATTTTAGCGTAGTGAGCAACCCAGAAAACGAGTGGTTTTCACCAGGACGCCTGGGTCACTACTTTAACAGAGTTCAACCAATGTTTTTTTCCGTCTTATCATACTCTCGTGCACTGCTCTTGTTGCGAATTTAATTGCGTGTGTTTTCCCACCCACCACTAATATTTTGTTATTTTCTCTTTTGCTTTATTATCGTTCTAGTACCACGCGTACTAATTATGCCATGTCACTTTTAACTCGCGATTTTTTTCGCCATGTTTTATCCTATTTTGTAAATATGTAAATAATCTACTTAATCAAGTCTTTTATTAATTCAATTACTTTGTTTATTTTATTGTGTTTACCTATTATCGTACTATTTCATCACCGACTAGACTCAACTTATGTCTGGCCAATCAAATTCATGCTCTCCATGCCGTACTTGTGCTAAGCACCACCCCTTCATAATTCCTTCCCTCCTACCCACCCCCAATATCTAACTTAAATTTTCGACGAATGGGTTAAAGCCGCTTCGCGGCTGTGCACCTAGGTTCTCGTTATTTCTACCATGGGTGCTCATTTTCGTACTCACTAATGTTGGAATTCGGGATGCCCTTGTTGGAATTAATGCCCTTCAACATAGCTGACGTTGGGAGTAACACATTGTGTTACTGGAAAATTCCTCGGTTTTGATGTGGTTTATTTAACCTGGGAATTTTTATTTTTAGTGTTGTTCCTACCCTTGTTTTGGGTAGTTTTTGAATAATTGTTTTCCCTTTTCCGGGAAATTCGGGGCATTGACGCCAATTATTGGCGTGCTCCCCGCCACAGTTAGCGCACATAAGTGGTGCGTTAAAGGGATGAGTGCAGTCCCTAACCTGGTGCGGCTGTGCTCAACGTAGGCATTTAATGGGTAACTGGCACATCTCTGAAGAGTGGTTGAATTCCTGGCAGCGGTAGCACTGTCTGGGACACTTCCTAACTCTGTAGTACTCGAATTTTCCTTCAGTTCCGAGAAGTTCTGAAATTTCAAAAATCCTCTTGGAATTGGGAGTGGGATTTATTTGGCGGTAAAATAGGGGCATAGGGGTCTGGTAAGTTGAGTGAGGTTATGCACCTCAAAGCCCATTACCTTAATTTGGGCTTTGATTTCATCAATTAGTGTAAGAGAAGGGAGCCCCCTAATGACGACTTTAAGTCGTCGCTCCTCTTGTAGGGCGAAGCCCTTAAACTCTAGACCTCTGGTGAGTAGGAAGTCTGAGACTGACCTAGACTCATCAGAATTATTTACATTAATTTTGATGAATTGTCCGGCGAGTTTTGAACTCACGGACGGTGCTTCTCTCTTCCGGAGAGAGAGAGGAGTAGAGGCCAAACCTGCCTCGGTTTAATTAAGAGGGGAAGGGGATTCCGTGGCCGGGAGGCTGAAGAATTTTTCATCGAAAAGGAGTTTTCTTGGTTTTCTCCCTCAGGAACCGGAGGTGAGAAGTTCCGGGGGGAGAATATTCCACTGGCTGTTGAATTGTTCTTTCGTTTCCTTTTGTTAATGGCTTGAAAACCGTCCTCGTCGGTTTCAGTAGCCTTGTGAGAGGCTTTGGACCGAGCTAGTACGGCTGATTATTTATCCTTTAGAATAATATCCATGGACGCGAAGTCCACAGGAATCATAAATAATTTAATATCATTGGCCTGCGCTTAGACATTAAGATTATCCCTGAGAGATTTGACTTCAATTTGAATGAGAGCCGGATCCTCAAAAGAGAGATCCAGAGAAGCTTTGTATATCTGGGTTTCCAGTTCGGAATATTCTTTTTTGAGAGCATATAAAATTCTATATACTTCTCTTTGATTGATAGGATAAGATCATTTAACTCGCGATCGAATGGGTTATCGCTATTGGAATTATTATCATTTAGGGAGGAAGTATCATACGATACTCAGCACTCCCCTGATTGTGTTGTGGCTGTGTAGGCGGGGTGGATTTAAGATCCCCCGTAGCACCGCTACCTGTAGCTACGCCTGATCCGGCCAGCGCCCCAGTTGCTGCTTTCCCCCTTACGAAGGGAAGCAGAGTGGACCTACCTAGTGATTGGTACCCTAGTGACTGATATCAATAGTAAAAGTACAATGCAAAATAGTAAAAGAAAGAACCCTTTCAGAGTTGTCGAAATGAATCCAGAAGAAGTTCTTTCCACAAAACCATCGGAAGAAGCTGTTATCAACAGAAAAAAATCAACAAATGGACTAAGAGTCAATTGGCTTAATAAGAGATGGATAAAATTGGAAAGGTCAAACCCAAACAGCATTAAGTTCAAATATAATTTGACGAGGATGATACCTTTCATGTAATTGATATAAAAAAAAAAAAAAAAAAAATTAANAGAGGTAATTTAAAAAAAAAAAAAAAACTCAACCTATATTATATCCTAATGGCAAAACAATTTCAAGAGAAACAAAAAAAGACATGTGTTTATTAAAGTATATACCTCCAATTAAACACGATTTTTAGAAGACATTAAGGACAACACGTGGAGATCAAGATTTACATTTAAGGCGACAAAGGACCTTCAAAAAATGACGAAAATATCGATTTTTTATTTTTACTCTCATTAAATAATCGATATCGTTTGCTTTCATATAAAAAAAAAGATTTCATTTTGGATAATTTTTTCGGAAGTTATCAGCATTTAAAATTTTGTAAACAGTCTGCCACGCCCCTGTTTACAGCTGCAGCAGAAGCACGCAAACCGAAACTAATTGTAATTTCTCAAATTAATAGTATTTTAATTTTATTTTAATGAATTTTTGCTCACCGTAAGTTTACTAACTGTTAACTGCAGTGTTTGTATAGTCACTGATTTGTTTTTGTTTATATTGCGATTTGCTACGTCTATTTTCCTGCGTTTCTACTAGTATTATTTTGAAATATTATTACTGAATTGTTTGTTATTGTTTTCGATTTTATTTATTTATTCAGTGTTATTTATATCGTTATTGTTTTCGTTTTATTGAACTTGCATTTTTCATAATGCATAGTATCAGTTCTAAATGGAGGAAACCGAAAGGTAGACCTTCAAAGAAACGAGCTACTGGGCTAGCTAATTTCAAGAAGGGGCTTGAGAAAAAAAGTGAGGGAAAAGAAAGAAACACATCTGTTTTGCCAAGTCATAATGGTAATGACAATGATAGCAAGTTAGCTATTGCAAGCCAACCTGCATTTACTATTATGGATGGCATTGTCTGCTCAGTGCAGTTGCATGCAATGAGCGTGATGAGAAAAATTTAGATGTTGTGACTCACAAAACATAGCTTAGCTTCACAACTGAAACTTTTTTGCAAATCATGTGGCCATAAATATGGAACAACATTCTCAAGTGCTCGAGAGAATGACAGCAAGAAATTTGCTGTCAACAAAAAGTTAGTGAATGCTTTTTTATCAATTGGAAATGGATATGGTCCTCTGGAGGTGTTCTCAATGATGCTTGGAATACCGTGCATGGACAGTAAAACTTTTTAAAGTGCTTGGATAGTTTAGTCGCTCATAATGAACAGGCTAAGAAAGAAGTTTTGAAACTGTCTCGTGATATTGTAAGAAAACATTACATTGATGAGGTTTCTGGCTCCACCGCAGACGTTATTGACATGTGTGTGTCTTATGATGGGACGTGGCAGAAGCGGGGCCACTCCTCCTTATATGGCATCGGATTTGTTATTGATAACTCAACTGGACTTGTAGTCGACTATGAAATTTTAAGCAAATACTGTCATGACTGTGTTGTAACAAAAAGTGATTTGGGTGCAAACAGTCCAGAGTTTCATGTTTGGCATACCTCTCATGAACCAGAATGTCAGAAAAATTTTGACGGCTCCTCCAATAGTATGGAGATGGCTGCAGCATTGATATTGTGGTCACGGTCACTGGACCACAATATGAGATATGTAACAATGCTTTGCGATGGCGACGCTAAAGCTTATCAACATCTCAATGATAAACGTGTTTATGGTGATACTGCAATAAACAAGGAAGAGTGCATCAATCACGTTGCCAAACGTTTAGGAACTGGGTTGCGGAATAAAGTGCAAGAGTGGAAAAATAAAGGGGTCACTCTTGGTGGAAAAAAGAAAGGTGCTTTAAAAGATGACACAATAAAGAGACTGCAAAATTATTATCGCAATGCAATAAAAGACAATGCCCCTGATGTCTCAAAGATGAAGTCGGCTATATTTGCATCGCTATTTCATTGTATGTCATCAAATAAAAAACCGATGCATAACAAGTGTCCTGTTGGAGAAGCATCGTGGTGCTTTTATCAAAGAGCACTGGCGAAAGGCGAGAATCCAAGTAGCCATGCTAACATGAAAACTGTGCTCTCAGAAACGGTTGTTGAGAAGATAATGCCAGTCTACCAGCGACTGGCATCCGATGAAATACTGGCGAAGTGTATTTCCGCCAAAACACAAAACTCAAATGAGTGTTTACATAGTGTTTTATGGAACAAATGCCCGAAAGAAATTTTTGTGTCAAAGAAAAGATTAGAACTAGCTGTACTTACAGCTGTTAGAGAGTTCAATCTCGGTTGTGTGAGTTCCTTGGAAAAGTTGGCTACCAACATTGATGCAAATGATTTTTCAATGTCGATTGCTGAAAAAAGAGACAAACGACGACAAAGCCAACTGACCAAAAGAAAATCAAACGATTACAAAATGAAACGAAATAAGAAAAAATTTAAGTGTGCAACTAAAAATGCTAAGATTTTGAAACGTGAGGGAGCGACCTATGGAGCAGGACAATTTTAGTGGAACAAGTTTTATTTTAGCATACCAAATAATAAGTGTAGATATGATTTAATATTTTGCTTATTTTCTTTTTAATACCATAGCTATTTAATTTTTCATTTGCATTTTATATTTATCACAAAGAATGTAGTACTTATAAAAGAATCTAACGTAAACCAGTTGTATGTTTCGTAGATTGATTTTCACATCTAATTTGTTTAGTTGTACATATATATTAAGTATTGCATGCCTAACATGCTTCTAAAAGATTCAAATATTAATTTATTATTGAAAATTTTTCAAATTTATACTTCTCAAACTCAATGCTTGAAAAGTTTTGTTATTTATCTGCAGAATTCTTTTTTTTTTTTTGTTAGATAAATAAGTCTTCGGGTATTCGAACATTTTCTGTATATTTTGCATGTGTACTGAATATATTTGAAGTAGCAAATAAATGTTACAAGATAAAATTATTGTATTTGTAATAGTAATTTGTCTGAAAATAATAAAATCTTTGTAAAAATATAAGTGTGTTACAAAAAAATCCATTTTGAAACAATTCTAAAATACTATCCAAATTAAGGAATAAAGCTTCTAAATTTATAAAAGATATAAATAACAGATATTTCATTCTTACATATACTTGTATCAGAGTAGTATTTCTGCAAAAAGCATTTTTACTCATCAAAAAGTACACATCGCTTAAATTTTTCGGAAAATTAACATTATACGAAACAAAATAAAATAAGCTTCAGGAATATAATAATTCTATTTTTTTAACACAGTTAAATATTTATATAAGTTTTACAAGACATGTAATTATTTGTAAATAGTAGTAAAGTTTTTTTTTTTTGTAAAAAAAACCTAAAAATGTTGTTTTTTCTTATTCCAATTTTTCAGCATTTTAGACATTTCGAAAAGTTCCAGACGGCTTAATTTTTATTCAGATCATTAAAAAAATTTTGTGCATGCTAGATATGTATTTATGATCATTTTGTACTGTCAAAATAAATAATGCTGCAGTAATTAGAGCAAGTATATTCAAGAATGTTGTTTACAACTACATAAATTTTAAATTTTTTTGGTATTTTTACATTATTTTTTTTTCTTTAATAAAAGCATTTGATTAGTGCAATTGGTACCTAGTACATCTTGTTACAACGTCTTTAAACAACTTTAAAAAAAAATTTGAACACCATATATCAAAATTTAAGCCGCCTGGAGCATTTTCAAAAAATATTATTTTAAAATTTTTAATAAAATTTAAAATTTTGACAATTGTTCAACAAAATTTTATATGGTATCTTGTATTGCCTATATCCATTAGCTGATCAATTTTCAGAATGATTGAGCGAAAAATAAAAATTTGAACCTCCCTCGTCGCCTTAAATAACTCGGAAGAAGATGATGTTTGTTATGATGAATAAACATAAAACTTGAATGACAATAAATGTAATTTTATTATTTTTACATAAATTTCTTATCTTTTTCAGCTGCCAAAAGGTATAAGTCCTAAAATTTTTAAGATGCTGTCATTATTTCAATAAATACTTACGTTTTTATTTACACATCCTGTACATATCTTGTTTTTTTGCAGAGTTTACACCTTGAAAAAAGACAATACACTTTTCCAATCAAATTAAAAAACCAAGAATTTTAAAAACTAATGTATCAAAAAACATTAATTTTCTCTATTTTTGTGTTTTGGACTTAACCGCATTGGCTTCTGAGCGACTCAAATATTAGTAATTCAAAACTTTCTTTAAAAATTTTTTCTTCTACTTATAGATAGTATTAGAAATCTTTTTGTGCAAAAATTTCGCAGAGAGAGAAGCTAAGTGCATACCTGCCAACTTTTACGCATTTGGCGTAAAATTTTATTTTTATATTTAAAGTGGTAGTAAATATACACTACTTTTTCTTTTATAAACTTAATTTTTAAATGATTTTGATCACCACTATTCTTCAAAAAATTAAGCATATATAATTATATGTGTACTATCATGGTTGTGAAGTTAAGCTTTTTCAAATACAACGTATTTCTTTGCCTAAAATAGAAATTTTAATTCCGTTTTACTACCACTGGGAAAAATCATATTGGAAGAGATTAAAAGTTGGCAGGTATGTAAGTGAGTGAGTTTGAAAAATTCATGTTGCATAAGTAGTTAAAAAATTTCCTGTCTTCGCCATTAAAGAAAAAATATTGGTAGAATTTCTGAGTAATTTTTAATAAAAAAAAATTTCTACAATAATTTCTCCTTTTTTATTATTTAATTTTCCATTGAATAATTTTTGGTGCACTTTAAAATGAATATTTTGATATGATAATATTTTATTTTCGATTCGTAAGGGATTTTTCCATTTGCTACTTGTGGGCATGTCATTACCCGAAATTGACAAAAAAATAATTGTTACGTTACATTCTATCAACTAATAAGAGAAAAAAACATTAAATTAATTTTTTCAGTGTTTTTTATTTTCTGCCAGGTACAGTTTGCTAACGTAACTATTTATTATTTAGATTTTAAAACTGTCGAAAGTCGCATGCAAGAGGACAAGTAATGCACAGTAATCAGAAATTACGGAAAATGTAATAAACCAATAATGGTGTGTGAGATTTAGAGATGAAAGATGATCGTCGGAAAGTGCTCGAGACTGCATACCCGTAAAGCGAAGGGAGGACAGATCACTACGGTACCCCGGGGCGTGACTACCTGTGTTTACCTGAAGAAGGCAAACTCCCTGAGGTTTTTTATGAAGTGGATTTTGGTTTGAATTGGCAGATGGGCTCGGACTAAGGGAGATAAAATTCCTTTAGACAATTCTTTGGCGAGACTTACTTTAAAGTCCAACATTCTTTTAGGTTTCTTTAGTTTATGGTTGTGAAAGCGAATAACTCAGGAAAGAATTGAGGACAGCCGTGTCCACCAAAACACATATAATCACCACTTACTTGATTTCCGCACGGACTCGTAGTATTTGTGCTTTTGATCTGCCAGATCAACACCACCTATAAACTTTTTGTAATCAGAAAACACTGTAGGGCAATCGAATGTCTTTTCGGTTAGTGTTCAAAGTTCCACAAGAACAAATATTTTTTTTTCATGAGGTCCATCATCAAAGGTAAAATAACTATCAAAATAAATATGATAGTTCTTTCTAGACAGTAAAATGCTGCTTAACTGTGTGACTATATCATAACCAATTCCTTGACCATTTAATTTCATTCTATCATGTTTGCTGCAATAAACTTCGAAGTAACTAAAACATAGTCAAGAGAGGAAGAGCACATCATTCACAATTTCAAACCACTCTTGGCAGGTTTTGGAGGCATGTATTGGACAATACCAAGTCGACCATTGTTCTTTATATCAAATACCAGAAGACGGAATTCACGGTAGATACCATTCGCTCTTTTGACCCACGACCAGGGGGCCCTATTACCAACTCATCGAAATTTATTCCGCTCGGAAACTAGCTTTCATCGGAATGTCAATTTCGTGAAACCCATTTTGCCGTAACATGAGTATTTCGGAATCCGGAATCGACATTCCGTACGATTCCAGAGGAATTGAAGTTTGTAGGCGGGACTAACTTTGACCAATTAGAAAATTACTATAATTCTAATTTATTAATCTGGCAACGATATTTTTGTTTTCTCTTCTTCTATGCGAGCTAAAATCGCATTAACTTAAAAATGAAAGCTTAAACATTCATACATTTTCAACAGTCGTGTGTGTTCTAAACCAAGCTTGTGTTTATTTGAAGTGTATAGAGTGTATACGTAGTATTTTCAAATGGCTTCTCGCACGAAAATTAATGTTCGCCAACAAACCATGATTGTTGAATATCTGGAAAAGAATCCTGATCTAAATAAAGGTACCCTTACCGGCACCTTTACCTCTAAGGTAAAACATCAACATTGGGAAGTGCTTACAAAGATGCTGAATTCGGAAGGTGGATGCATCAAATCTGTCGACAAATGGATGTTTGGTTGGTTGGATTTTATTGGCACAAGAGCCAGAAATGGCTATACTGCGCCAGGCACTAGGTTAAAAGTAGGTCCCTAGGTCAGACTACTGTATTATTGACTACTGATGTATAGGGTCACCAAGTCAAGATTGAAGATTAGGATAAAAGCTGCCAAAAAGTTTGTTCCTCAAATGTTTGAATCGTTCGCAGTCGGTTAAAATAAGTTTAATAATAATGTCGACATGACATAGAGAACAACTAGGTGCAGGTTCAGATTTTAGTAAATGCATGTGAGTAAAACGGGAATGACCAATGCGCAGTCTATTGATAATAACCTGGGTTTTGCGATCAATATGTATTGTTTTGAAGTTGTCGAGATTAGGATAAATTTCGTGCAGTTTATCAATTTTATGTCACTAATTGCACTAGTTAAATTTTTTGGTAGCCAATTTCGCTTAAAACAAGGTACCAGTTTAAAATTTTGCAACTGCAACAGAATTTAGCACAAAATTAGTCAATTCATACTATATAACATCTAATTATCATTGGTTTTTGACAATGATTAATGAATATTTCTTTTAAATATTATTAAAAATAAGTTTTCTAGTTTCTCCAATTAGAAACATAACAAGCCAATGATATTTTGTTAATTAAAACCTAATATTAATTTCGTATCTACTAATCTTACTGCACCATTTTATTATGAAAACCATCTATAATATATATCATTTCACAATGTAAATAACCTTTGAATTAGCAAATTGAACTGGAATACCAAATAATAATTTTATCATGAACATTTTGCCATATTCACTCCAACTGCCATCGCCAAGATCACTTAAGAATTTGTTCCTTCATATTTAAAATAAATAAAACTATTGCAGTTTACTGTGTTGGATAAAAGTAACATCCTTAGAGATTTCTTCTGTGGTTAGTTCTAAATAAATATGCGTAGCAGAATAAATTAATCATAATTTGAAAACTAATATGAAAGCAAAGTTCGGAGGACCATGAATTCAATGAATAACTCTTTTACACTCGGTTTATGTCGATATTATCATTAATCTAATTAATTCCCCT